GGAACGGCTCCTCAATTCCCGAAACCAGCGTTCGAACGAGAGTGTTGCCATGTTTGTTGAGGACATGTCGCGGCTGTTCAGGCGAGCCGACTCCTCAATGACGGAAGAGAAGAAGGTGCGCCTCCTAATTCGGGGCGTCAAAGTACAGCTGTTCGCGGGACTAGTGCGGAACCCTCCCAGCACTGTAGAGGATTTCCTCCGCGAAGCCACGACAATGGAGAGAATGCCAAGGCAGCGTTCGTACCAGTATGAGCGTCCTGGCAGTCTTTCGTCAGTGTCGTCGGCCCTGCTAACACCTGACGTCACGACTGTAAAAGACCTGACGGAGCTCGTGCGCAGTATTGTGCGTGAGGAGCGGCAAAAGCTGCACGTGGTGTCTTCTCCGCCCCATGTTGCTGCTCTAACGGATGTCGTTCGCGAAGAGGTCCGGCAGCTGGTGCACCCCATGACGACTCTGCGTGCAGCCGAAGTCCAACCCATGACGGCCCCGCGTCCAGCCGAAGCTCCGCTATTAACGTACGCGGAAGCACTACGTACTCCTGCACCGGCTGGTGGCTATCCGTCCCGTCCGTCCACCCTGCAGACGGCACCGTCGTTCTACTCGGGACCACCGCAGTACGGCAACCCACCCCTTACACGGAAATCCAGTGTATGGCGTGCTCCCGACAACCGGCCTCTGTGTTATCACTGTGGTGAACCAGGTCACATCTACCGTGAGTGCGCCTACAGGCACATGGGTCTTCCTGGCTTTCGTCCGGATGCTCGTCGACCCAGAGATGGTGAGCGGCCCCGTGCAATTGCCGAATACTTGGCAAGCCAACGATCCTCAACCCTTCCGCGTCGCCAACCCCGCTCACCATCTCCACGGCGTTCCACGTCACCTGGCCAACAATCGACCTTTGCGGACGTCCTTGCAGGAAGATCGCCTAGATCCACAAGCCCGCGCCGGGGAAACTAAGAACAGCGACCTCTGGGGGTGAGGCCGCTGTTGATCGACCGTTACAAGACCCTCCCCCGATTTGCCTGCCGACATCCGACGACATTCTTTCACCGACGTGTGCCATCGACGACAAACGGGTCTCTGCTCGTATCTCTGTCCTTGTCGATAACCACCCGCTGACCGCTCTGGTAGATATGGGTGCCGATTATTCTGTTATAAGCGCTGACCTCGCTGCACAGCTAAGAAAGGTAACGACACCTTGGGGACATGGAACCAACCTCCGGACTGCGGGAGGTCACCTATTGACACCGCTAGGAATCTGCACTGCCCGCCTCCGAATTTGTGAGTCGACGTACATTGTTTCCTTCGTTGTATTGCGCGAATGCTCCCGAAACCTAATTGTCGGAATGGATTTTCTCCGCGAGCATGGAGCCATTATTAACCTTCGCGACCTGCTCATAACGTTATCAAACGACCATACAGCCCTACGAAAGGATGCAGTTGCACCGACCACAACACTTCGAATTGCTGACGACACCATCGCACTGCCGCCGCGAGCCAGTATGTTGGTAACTGTGGAGAGCGACTGTGACAACAAGAGTAGTGGCATCGCGGAAACTAACCTCTCGGTGCTCTTGGCTCGGCAGATTTGTGTCGCGCGTGCTATCGTCAAACTTAAACATCGGAGGACTCAGCTTCTGATCACGAATTTCGGCGGCCAGTACCAACACTTGGCAAAGCGAACAGCAATCGTGAACTTTGAAGCCATCGATGACGAAGAATGTTCCACTATTGCTCCGATTGCCACTGCTGCCGAAGGTAACACTGCATTAGCCAGTACAGTTGACGTGAATTGCCAGCTATCCTGTGCGCAGCAACAGCAGATACGCATGATTTTACGTACGTATAGTGATTTCTTTGCGTCCACCTCCAAAATCAAGCAGACCCCAACCGTGAAGCACCGCATTATAACGGACCCTACCGAACGGCCTGTACGACAGCACGCCTACCGCGTGTCGCAAAAAGAACAAGAGGCAATACGTTTTCAAGTGAAACAGATGCTCGACGACGACGTCATTCAACCCTCGAACAGTCCATGGGGGTCACCCGTCGTACTTGTTAAAAAGAAAGACGGCACTCTTCGATTTTGCGCTGATTACCGGAAGCTCAACAAAGTGACGAAGAGAGACGTCTACCCTCTCCCACGCATAGATGATTCACTGGATCGACTTCGACATGCCCGGTATTTTTCCTCAATGGACTTACGCAGCGGCTACTGGCAGATCGAGGTCGATGAACGTGACAGGGAAAAAACAGCATTCACAATTCCCGATGGCCTCTACGAATTCAAAGTGTTACCATTTGGATTGTGCTCTGCACCGGCAACGTTCCAAAGGATGATGGACACCGTCCTGTCCGGTCTGAAGTGGGAATCCTGCCTCGTGTATTTAGACGACGTCGTTGTTTTTTCCAAAACATTTGAGCAACATTTACAACGACTTCAGTCCGTCTTTGTCGCTATTCGACCCGCAGGCCTATCGCTAAAACCGGAGAAGTGTCATTTCGGCTACGAAGAACTAAAGTTCCTCGTCCATTTTATCAGTCACGATGGCATTAGACCGGACCCAGAAAAGACCATGGCTGTTGCTGCATTTCCTCCACCTTCGAACAAACGGGATTTGCGCCGGTTTTTGGGTCTCTGCGCCTACTACAGGCGCTTTGTCCAGAGCTTTGCCAACATCACTGAACCCCTTACCCGTTTAACGAAGGAGGATACTCCTTTTGTGTGGGGTCCAGAGCAGAGAGCCGCTTTTTCCCAGCTTCAGCAGTGCCTTCAGAGTGAACCCTTACTAGGGCACTTTGATGAAGATGCCACCACCGAACTTCACACTGACGCAAGCAAAATCGGTCTTGGTGCAGACTCGTCCAGTGGCAAGACGGCGCTGAACGTCCCATCGCTTATGCTAGCCGCATTTTGTCATCTGCGGAAACTAACTACTCGACCACGGAGAAGGAATGTCTTGCTGTTATTTGGGCGATAACAAAGTTCCGACCGTATCTGTATGGCCATCCATTCAGAGTAGTTACGAACCATCATGCCCTCTGTTGGCTGGCCAATCTCAAGGATCCTTCAGGGCGCCTCGCGAGGTGGAGCTTACGCCTTCAAGAATTTGATGTTACAGTCGTCTACAAGTCGGGCCGCAGGCACACTGATGCTGATTGCCTTTCGCGCGCACCCCTCGCGACGACATCGAGGGACGATGATACCGATGGCCATTTTCTTTGTGCAGTCAGTGAATCTGACTTGGCTCAACTACAGTGGAATGATTCAGAGATCCAACAACTTATCAAATACCTTCAAGGTCGCAGCTCGAGTCCACCATCGGCATTCGCACGTTCAGGGTCATTTTGTCTCCGCAACGACATCGTCTACAAAAAGAACTTCGAACCTTATGCGACTGAGTACCTCCTCGTCGTTCCACCAGGGCTACGTGCTGACTTTTTATCTGCCTGCCATGACGAGCCTTCCTCCGGCCACCTAGGATTCGCACGTACCCTTGCCCGGATTCGGACTCGCTACTACTGGCCAAAGCTCACCCAGGATGTCAAGCATTACGTTAAAACGTGCAATCATTGCCAGCGCCGCAAAGCCCCACCTGTGCGCCCTGCTGGTTTATTGCAGCCTGTTGCACCCCCGTCACAACCGTTTGAACGAATCGGCATGGACTTGCTTGGGCCCTTCCCGAAGTCACATGATGGCAACCGCTGGATCGTAGTCGCTACTGACTATTTAACGAGGTACTGCGAAACGAAAGCCCTACAACGAGGCACCGCCAATGAGGTTGCGTATTTTTTCATCAACATTGTCCTCCGCCATGGAGCACCAACAGTTCTTATCACTGACCGTGGAACAGCCTATACAGCCCAATTGATGCAAGACGTCACGAGACTTAGTGGAACAGCTCATCGCAAAACAACCGCATACCATCCACAAACCAACGGTCTGACGGAGAGATTAAACGAGACGCTCGCTGACATGCTATCTATGTACGTCGACCGTGATCACAAAAACTGGGATGCAATTTTGCCATACGTAACGTTCGCTTACAACACTGCGGTTCAAGAGACTACGGGTTTCACTCCCTTCCGGTTGCTTCACGGCCGAGAAGCAATTACGATGCTTGATGCCATGCTGTTGCCTGACACGACCGATATTACTACTGATGCGAATGACTTTATCCGGCTCGCAGACGCGGCCCGCCAGCTTGCACTCGAGCGGATCCGAAAACAACAACGAATCGACTCGCAGAGGTACAACTCCCGTTATCGCCATGTCATTTACCAACCCGGTGATCTGGTCTAACTGTGGATCCCCGTTCGCAAAAGGGGCCACTCTGAAAAGCTACTTCACCGCTACTTCGGTTCCTATAGAGTACTACGGTGCCTCACAGATGTCAACTACGAAATTCTGCTTGAAGACACAGCTCAGCGATCTCGATGTTCCCAGCAGGCCGACATTGTTCATGTGTCACGGATGAAGCCACACTACCCCCGAGCCACCTGACACTGCTTCATCATGCGTCTTTGTGCGTGTTCGCGACTACTTTAACTTTTAATCGGCATTGGTCATCGGGGCGGTACTTTTTTTTTCGAAGGGGGGGGGGTAATGCCACAGGCATGGAACGAGGTTTAGCCATGACAATGCGAGTATGTGCCATGGTGTGAAAGAAGAAGAGGACGGTTGGGGTGCTCGTGCTCTAACCTTCGGTTCGGCTCGACGTCCAGTGCGGCTCCTGTGAACAGACGTTGTGGTCGTCCTGTGATCACGTGACAATATGTTCTTGCCGTTTAGCCTTCGCATCCTGCACCTTAAACGCCGGGGTAGCAGCTCGCTTCGGCGTTGCCATTTTGCCGCTTCTTGCATGTAGTAGCATACGTTTGTTGTTAGTAGCCCAAGCCTGTCCACTAAATGTTATTTGCGGTTAGGCGCTATAGACACGGCGTATATAGCAGCTGGTGCAAGTCACGAAAAAGGCAGATCATCGGTACATGCTTTCAGGTGCATACCAAAGATGGACCACCACTGCCCATGGTTCAACAACTGCGTCTGCTTCAGCACGTACAAGTTCTTTCTGCTCACGATATTCTACGTGGTCGTACTGAGTGTGTTCGGACTGCTGAGCGCAACGCACCACGTCGCCGGAGCGTGGACGAACCACGCCGCCTCCGACGTCACGCTGCACGCGACCTTCCTGTACGTGTTCGGCGTAGTGCTGTCGCTATCGCTGGGCTCCTTCCTCTACATGCACATCACCATGGTCTGCAGCAACGTCACCACTCTCGAGGACCTGCGGCCGCACCCGTTTAAGGATAGGAGGTACGTCACGCGGTGGCGCCATTTGCTTATCGATAGCCTATATATAGACCATGAAAGGGCTAACTCTGTATAACGGGGACTCACTTCAACTATCGAGCTGCATGCAGTCAACTAATTCAGTCCTGCAACTGCGAGGACAACGGGAAAGGTTAAAAAGGGGGATGGGGGAGGTGACATTTAACAAAGTGTCACCCAACGCTACACATTTGCCATGGATGACTTCAGAGGGGTGTTAGGCGATATTAATTGAGAAATTTATCGCTACTAATATCTCCAATGACTTTATTTTAAAGCACGGTTGTTAAATATATCGATTTCGTTTCGCAGTTGTGCTTCAACACAAGACGACCCATAGTGTGCCTCGCGAAAAAGCGACGCTTGAGACAACAAATCCCGGAAGTGTTGTTTGTTGGGCTAGTTGGTCAAAGATAGTAAAAAGTAAAAAGAGCTCAAACTATAGAAACGAACGCAGAAGTAACAGACAGGACGAGCGCAGTGCTTGTGAAATATTTAGATTTTGTCCCTATGTTGTCTTAACACATGATGACCGCATGGCGTGCTGGTCCTGTGATTTCTTCGTTCGTCTCTTCTATAGTTTGAGCTGTTTTTACCTTTTACCATGCTAGAAACCAATCCCGTCTAGGTAAATATCGTGGTGGATCTCTGCGCCGTTTACCAGTTCTCGCTCTGAATCCCAGCGCTGATCACCAGTTGTTGCGGACCGGGGTCTACCCGATCTTTTGTGGTAGCGTGGCGCAACTTCGGGTGATGGGAACGAACGCTGACAGGATGAGGATACGAAAAACAAACAGGTTTATGGCACTATTTACACCTATTTACAGCATAGGAAGGTTAAGAGTTTCACAAACCACAAGCGTGGTGGTTGAACCGATACATGGTTCAGAGCGACGTCCAGCACTCTGCGGCGTCGTTTTAAGCCCTGTCGGGCTCCTCCTCCTTGATTGGAATACCAATCACACACAAAACACCACCCACAGGCCATCAGTCAATAACACACTGTCCGCCGAATAGTTATTGCATCTCCCAACTCAATGCTCTGAGAATAGGGGAATAGGGTTCTCTCCCGGGACAATTTGACGGTTAGGTTGCTTCTTCCGCCTTTCCCTGGAAGGGCAGCCAAGGAGCAGATACTTGAATCGCGGAGACACGACCTGTGCGGTCGGTCTGCTTCGCCGCCTTGCTAAACAAGCTGGGCCGGAGGAATTGCTTGTAGGGACATTGGCTCACGGACCGTCTTCTAATCCTTTTGTCGCTTCCCGCCGCTGGATCCGAGAAACTGGGGTTCTGGGCGTGGGAGCGCTGCCCGGCTTTGTTTCTCAGCGACAACATGGCGCCTACTGACGACGGTCATAACAATAACCCGTACAAGACATTATCAGCCGCAACAGGTTGTGAATGGCTGTACCATTTGGCAATGTCGCAAACATTTCATTTCTCGTAAAGCCACCGGCCGTTATAGAGACGTCCGCGGGCGGCTTGTTTGACACCCTTTTCTTTACAAGCTCGGCACCACCGCAGAGGACGAAAAGAACGAGAACATACTTGTTTCTTGGCGCCATGTTATTGTTTTGAATAAATACTAACTCGCCCGATAGCGATTTCTACTTAACAGAAAGTAGGACGCAGTTCGTGAACAAAGGAATACGCATATAGAAGCGGACCTGCGTCAAAATAGCATGCGCGTACAGCTATAAAAACAAACACAGTTCGGGTAGACGAAGCACTAGGCGATGGAGGGCACAGATTTGGGGTGGCCTGCGTGGGAACACGTATAAATGTACGGTTAAAAGCTTTGTCATAGAGGAGTGTTAGAGCTGATATTACAATGCAAGAGTAAAAAGCAAGCCAACAATATTGGCGTTTCCGGTGCATAGAGAGCAACGGATTGGTATCGAAAAAAATACGGTGCCCAAAAGTTTGGCTTAGATTGCACACTGTGAATGTTTTTTTGAATACGCCGTATTTCAAGTCAAACTGTTCATGTGACGTTTGTTGTACCGATTGCAGCTATCGCTAGTCACCAAATTAAAATATTGGTTCTACGTGCCGAAACCTTCGATCTGCTTAGGAGCCATTGCCTGCAGCTAGGGCATAGAGATTGACTCTAAGAAGCTTCAAGACCTTTATTGTGCAATGCAAACAAAAGTACAAGTGCGTTTATTTCTTGTAATATTATCAGGACTGAAGTCTACTCAATATATATAGACAATTCTTTTTTTTTCAATCGGAGATGCGCATGAATATAGTGTATTAGTTAGAAAAATGTCTTGGCGCTGTGCAATCAATTCTGTAACTTCTTTCACATTTCCTCACCTCAACAATGTTGCAGCAGAAGTGGAGGCGATACTAAATACATATAGTGGAAGAACATGCTTTTTTTTTTTTTTCTGGCTGGTGATGACAGCGAGATCAAACAATTTGTGATTCCATTTGAAGTCGCTGGGCCTGGAAAGGTTAACTTTTATTTCCGTTTCAGAAAACGAGTGCCGCAGTCTAAATCCAGCCTGTAACGTTAACCATTGTAGAGCAACTTGACCCTTACAGAGCTACCACGGCGTTTAATATAGCGGCCACGTTTTTAAATTTACTACGTGAATAGAACACGATCGTTTGAGAGAGCAGTGTGCGGCTTGTCCCAGTAGCGCAAAACTTAAGCCAACAGCTGAGCAGATGAATGGCTCAGCCATGTTTTGCTAGACAATTTTTCTAGATATACAAAACTAGTTATGCCAATATTTTTTGAGAGATGGAAAGGTTTCTCTAATAGTACTAAGTATTACTAGACTTGGCTATTCTGCTGTTTCGATCGGTTACCCACACTACGCTCATGTCTAATGGTTAGCTCTTGCTCCACATTCAGTGATTGTAGTCACGTGACTATTTGTTACATGAGTGTATGTGATTTTTGCCGCTATTGACACTAGTTGTAACGGAATGTTAAGCGACTTGTCACGCGATTGTATGTTAAGTGATCTTGTGTGATTTCTGTTCGCGGGACTAGATGCTGCACGATGTTACGTAATTTTTAGTTGCGTCAGTAGTAACGTGATCTTACATCATTTTAGTCACGTGGATAGTTGCGGATGTTACGCTATTTTCAGTCACGTGGCTGGCTGTTTTTTGAAGTAAGGGATTTGTATTCGCGTAAGCTTACTCGATTTTAGTCCCGTGACTATGTATAGTTTCATGATGCCACATGATTCAGCAAAGTTATCTTACGCGATTATAGCCCCATGAATAGTTGTTTTACGTTATGTAAAGTAATTTTTGTACAGATTCGCTCGTCATAATTATTCAGCACAAGCAGGCGCACTGTGTTGTGGTAATGAAGCAGAAGTTAAAGAGGATGAAGTGAGTGACGATGATGATATTCCTGTTAGCACTACTCGGTGCAACGAAGAGCTTCTGGAGCTCCACTCAGAGGTTTCGAATTGGTTTTCTTGCTTGAAACTGTTAAAATATTAAAAAAAATGCCAGGCCTGCGCGGTAGGCGCAGCACAGTCAAAGTGAAAGCTATAAGAGCAGTTTTCAGAGCATTTTCAAAACACTGATTGAGTAACTGCTGCAAGCACACTTGCTGGGTACCCAGTACAGCAATATATTAATAATATCTGGGTAGTAGACCGGCATTTGCTATGCTATGCCTGAAGTGGGTATGCGCGACAGTAATGGGTGATCAAGTACAAATTTTTGTAAGGGGTTGGAGCATTGGACGACCCACTCGTAGTGCTATTGACATTGTGTGACACCTGATTGTTCTTTTGCTATTCTGAAACGCTTTATTACTCGTATTAACGCGATTCCTTTCCCGACATCAATTTTGCTTATGGCAAGTTTGCGAACAAGTGCCAAGCACCGGCGTGGCTCAGTGGTAGAATACTAGGCATGCACCCAGCGTACACGGGTACGAGCCCCACGGTGTCCTTGGTACTAGGGACTTTTTTTTTTTCTTGTTTCATGCGCTAGTGGTTACGGACCTCGGCGGTGGTGGCGGCGGACAACTACGGCGCCGCGCGTGACCCGAGTTGTGATCTCAGGCATTTTTTTTACAGCCAAAGGTGTTATAAGAACTTTCCCTGTAAAAAAAAAACTGCCTGGTCAGAGCAATGAGGTACGCACTGAGAATGAAAGTAGCACTGTGTAATTCGCATCTGCCTCATTAAAAAGTGTTAACAGCGCATAAAACAAATAGGAAAAGGACGAGACAACAGTAGTACCAGCGCTCTTTACCTCTGTTGCCTCGTCATTTTCATAATCGTTCTATACGCTGTTAACACTTTTTGAAATGAATAATACCCATCAACATGCCCTTTCATATCTGCCCTTACAAAGAGACTCCTTCGACGTGGGCTTTTGCAACAACATCGCTGAGGTGTTCGGCCACCGCAAGGCCCTCTGGTTTCTTCCTGTCTTCACGGCGCTTGGAGACGGGGCCCGGTTCCCGACACGACTGCATCCGGACCGAAACGCGTATGCTCCTCCACTTGCGTCGGTGGTAGTCGAGTCGCCGAGGCCTTCCGAGACGGTTGCTCCGGTGCCCGCGGTAACCGCAGCTGCAACGCCTCCGGTCGTGGGTCTTCATTCGTGCCGTTATCCGGTTCCATCCAGCGAGTCGGTGGCCCAGACGTCTTCGACGCCTCCGCCCCGCCCGCCACGTCCTGTCGGACGTCGCGGCCGCTTGCCCCCATTGGCCATCACCATTGTGCCGAGCAGTGAGACGCCCGCGTCACAGCTTCACTCGACGGACAAGAAGGACGTAACAACATCGGTGCCGCCACCGACGACAATGTCGTCGGCGGAGGTGCGATGATTCGCACAGGTACATTTCGCGCCTGTCATGCCGACGCCGGAAGTTAGCACTTTTGCCTGTCTTGGGCTGACATGCGCCCGATGCTTGTACAGCGCGGCAAGATTCTTGTTAAGAAGCAATCAGTGTGGAAGTAAACATTTCGTAGATGTATTTTGTGCATGGCGGCTAACGTATGGTTTCCGACGACTGTACTGTGTCGGCAAAATTTACTGTTGAGTACGCTAACACGGGTCAAAACAGAACACTACAACTTCACTTTCATATATCATTCTGGCCAGGACATTTAGCGTACATGTATTTCAATATTAGGAGTTCCCCCGTCAGTTCACGTAACTATGGTACCTTCGAAAGTAATGCATATAACTAGAGGTATTAAATTGTATACTCCGAAACGATATAAAATTGACTTATAATGTATCTATGTGCCAGATTGACCGTTGTAATGAAACAGTTTTTCTGACTCAAATATTTACTTGGCAGAAGCCATATATGTTCTTTATTGCCCGTATATGGCAGAAAATGAACGTGTGGGAGCCATAGAGTGAGAGGGGTCTGTAGTAAGGGTGGGGGTAGGAAATGAGGCATGCAACTGCAACGTAGCTTTGCCATGTCGGCCATCGGAGTTCACTCAATATGAGAGCAACACCGGCACCCATCAGGCAGTTCGATTGTGTGTCTCGGTTCATCAGTGGCCAGTAGTCTCGGCTGTTGACCCGAAGGTGGCGGGTTCGATCCCGGCCCCGACGGCAGCACTTCGATGGAGGCGAAATGGCGGAGGCCTGTATACTGTACGATGTCAGTGCAGGTGAAAAAAAAAAAACAGATAATCGAAATTCCCCCAGCCCTCCACTGCGATGTTCATCGTAATCATATCATGGTTTTGGGACGTAAAACGCCACATAACGTTATTTGGTTGTTATCTTCCCATGGAAGTGCAGGACACCTAAAGTTTAGAGATGATAACACCAGCATGAGTACGACGTGGCGAATATGAAAGTGCAATTTTTTTTTTCATATCAGAAGCAGCGTGTCTACTAAATGCAACGCCACCAAACAAGTTAAACACGAATAGAGGAGTTGTTGCTTGAAACCTACTCCTCAAAAGCGTCACGTACGGCTCCTCGGTGGGGCATTCTGCGTGACTTTCCGTCTCCACACATGGCGCACTAAGAAAATACGGTGGAGACGTACTGCAGTACTCAACAACACGTTAAATCTGCAATGTTTTAACCAATGCGAAGTTTTAAGCACACTCGTCATTACCACGAACGCTCTGACGCGTGACCTCGACCTTGATAGGCATTAGACAATGCCTTGGTGTGCCTAAATAGTATGACGGCATGCATGAAAAAAGAACCGAAAGCTACGCGGCACTAGCGTCAATCAAACTGTTTCAGGACACGTGTGGGATTAGGCTTGCTGACGACTGTATACAGTGGGACTCCCACAGTTCTAAAGAATATGACATTAGTGCGACCATATAGTCATAGTGGCAAGGGCTTAATACCATCGCGTCTCGCGTGTTAAAGTGTCTTCAGATTCTTACGTCACAAGAGCCGCCGTCGTAGCTCTCTTCGTAAACCACTGAAAGCATGGCGTGGCTAACGTGTGCTTTAACCTCCCATTTGTCTATTTGATTTTAACAGTCTAGCGATTTAACTCAGCCCTAAATTACGTGGTCGGCCTTGTGCGGTCGATAAAATATGTGCCACAGAAATTGGACAAATTTCATTACAAGCGAAAGCAACAATTGACCCAACAAACGGATGTGTGCCACAAATTTCTGCGACCTATCGAAAAACTGTCATCACCAAAAACAGGTATCGGCCACGGAAATTTTGTACATCTTTCTACTTGCCACTAGTCCAAAGGAAGAAGACCGTTAGCCCAACGGCAGTACGGGAAAGACATCGGTGGCTGTGACAAAGCCCTGAAGCAGTGGAAGACTTGATTGGGCAATGCAATGCTTGATTGGGCTATAGTTGGTAATCGATCTTCAGCGGACAAAGCGCAAGAGCACTGGAGCCAGCCCTTGTCTCTATTCTCTTTCCTGCCCCTTGTCTTTTCTTTCGCCGGCTGTTGAAGAAAAAAGACCTACCTCAGCGACAAGGTGCCCGTATGTCTATGAGAAATGCGAACGCTTTGTTTTAGTGCCGGCTTCTATCTGTGGATTTTGGACATCCGTGTCACGCCTGTGGCTGCCCGGGGTTGAACTCGAACACCTCAGCGCTGAAAACTTAGAAACAAGCAAACATCACTTTGCGAAAGCCTAGAAACCTGCTATAAGCAGCATTGAAGCAACCAAATTAATCATCAGAATCGTCCAGTTTCACTGTTGCAAACCTTGAACGGTTTAGGGCAAGGTTCACCAATTCTGTCGTCATCATTGATATATATTCTACTCTCAACCTTGTAAATGTAATGAATACCTAACAAAACCAAAACACAGCAATAAACGACGCCACAAGTATGATTCGCCACTCGCAAGTACAAATTCAAGGCAAATTCGTGTACTACCTATCATTTTCATGATCACTGAATAATCGCAGTGCCAGAGTCCCCTCTAGTTAATTTAAAGGCTCGTACACACCGGCGACTAGCAGCGGTCGCGCGACCATTTGCGACTGGCGACCAAAAAGCGACTGATGTCCTCACCGGCAGAGGCTGCATGCGGGTGACCGGAAGTCACAATAGCGGAGAGTCACGTCCGGATCTCGTTATCAGTGAGAACTCTGGAGACCGGCGCCGATCAGCTGATCGCCGCCAGCTGAGTGAGCAGAGCAAACCGAGCGCGCCGCATTTCTTGTTTTTATCCGTTCTCGCCAGCGCAAAGAAAAAAAAAAACAAAAATGGAGCATCGCTGATTGGTTCCAGCAGCTTTGGGAGAACAGTCACGTGACTGAAAAGCCAGACAGGAAGCGACTAGCCAAAGCATTCGCCTTGCGACCGTTTGAGACCGTTCGCGACTCTTTGCGACCAGTCGCAAATGGTCGCGCGACCACTGCTAGTCGCCGGTGGCACCGCGTGTTTGACAACCGTATGCTGGAGAACGCGCGAGAGAGAGGGGAGACGCCCATGTCGTCTGCTACGGCGCTCATTGGCAGCGGCAACCACAAACGTCATTTCCGCGTTCAGTTAAATTTTTTTTTTTTTTTTTTTTTGCGGTCGCCGCGTCAGCAGCCAAGGCCGCCGTGGACTCGCCGGTAGCGCCGGTACTGAGAGCAGCTGTGTGTGTGGTGTGTTTTGCGAATCGGATTGCTTTTGGGTTGTTTCCGAACTACTGAAACCTTAAGTAAACAGCATCGGGCAAACTGCGTCGGGGGTGTACTGAGAGCAGCTGTGTGGTGTGTTTTGTGAATCAGATTGCTTTTGGATTGTTTCCGAACTACCGTAAGTAAACAGTCTCGGGCAAATTGCGTAGACAGACTGCCCACAAGACGTATTTGTTTGCCGCAGCGTCGCTAGCATCAAGGCTCGCTTTTTCCCGTAGATCCCGCAGCATCTTTGTCATGTCAATTTTTAATCCGGTTGGCTTATTACGCTGTTGCAGGTACGGCCGTACGTCACCGTTCATGTATTGACCGATTTCGAGGCTACCGACGGTATTGCCTACACGATCGATGCCTATCGTTAGTAATAGCGATTTTAAACTATTATGTGCTCATAATACGCCTCAGTCAGTTTTTTACCTGCAGTGAGAGCGGCGTGAAAACCTAAAACAGTCGTTCAATCACTGAGTATGTCCTGTTTTAAAATAAAATGCCTAGCTACTTGGCATTGCAGTGTCGGTTCTTGATGCCTGCCGCAGATTTGCGGACTTTGTGCAGCAGTCATTCTCCAAAATACTGCACGTGTATAACTTGCAGGAGACCGTGAGTAATCTTTGAAGCAAAATCAGAGTGATGTGAGGTAGTTGCAGTGCAAAACAAAAATCAGATTTGACAACATGGGCTTGACTCCCAACTGTATCACTGTAATGGTACTGAGCAGCTTAATACAATGGCAAAAAAAATATACATCGCAGGCAGGTGGTGCAAAAGGAAACTAAATGACGGTTAAGGGTGGCTTTAGTTTTCAATACATTTCTGCAGCAGTATGTTCGTTTATGCCAGTTGTTCTATTTTTATTACTTCCAAGACACGAGGGCGCCGCAGGAGGGAGTAGAAAATTCAATGCACACAAATAAAGTAAACAATAGTAGTTTCTAACTTTACAGTGTTACCTATATGGTTGCATTCCTCAGGGAGGCTCAGGCGTTTTATTATAAGTAAGCAAGAACTAATGGACAGAGAAAGTAAAAACTATGTGAATAGTGTCATCAGGTTCCTCCTGTCTCAGCATTTTTTAAAAATGTTTCTTGGCACCCAACTAATTTATTATTTCTACGCTTCCACATTAAGCCTTCGCGGCGAGTCACTCTTTCTGCCTTCATGTGGATGGCTTCATACAGGCAACATGCATATTCACAATAGGCTCCCAGCAGTTCTTCTCAGCTCTGGGACCTGCTAATGTGATATTTTTGCAGTATAGCTCTTCCACAACTGTTCCAATAAACTTGACATATATTCACTTGAACACGCTGCGCTCAAGTGTAAACAGTATTTTCCGAAACAGAATGAAGAAATTTCCCCTGCATTAGTGAACTGAACTGGGCCGGTTGGTATGTACATTATAAAAATGTTGTATTTAGACAAGTCGTACCGATCTGTTTAAAACTTGCAAGTAAAAGCAAGCACTGGAAACTGCTCAAAACATGAACGGCAGCGTACTGCCGTTAGATGCGGCCGTTAGAATGGGGACTTAAACTACAACTTTGGGTAGTTAAAACTTAGGCATGAGTTAAACACGCGTGGCGAAAAACGATCCCAACGCTATGAAACCCCGAGGCCACGGCCGTACGTCTCGCTCCAACGCGTAAATCTTGTCCCTCTACTACTCGTCGTAATGCCCCCAGTGTGCAGATGCCACCTGTCCACGCAGTCAGCCCCGACACTGTTTAC